CAAGAGATCCTTCAAGAGTGAAGTGATGTTGATTTGAAGGGGCCCCCACCCTGTAATAGTGGTATGATAGGAATATAATAGGGCCCTAATATAATCCTTATAGTCACTATTACAGGGTGGGGGCAGCTTCTAAGATATTGATTTTCCGGGAGCCCTGAGTAACGAAATATAAACCCCAGAGGGTCCAAGTAGCCAAATAGTAGGGTTTCAGGTCCCCAAATCCATACTCTGAATGGTTTTTGGACCTTGAAACCCTACTATTTGGGTACTTGGACCCTTAGGGAACCTTTACAACCACAACAAGCATCCCGTGCAATGTCCATACCGACTCCTCAGTAAGTGCCAACATATTTCTGTCGGGTGCCTTCTTAGGGTTTAGGGTTCAGGGTTTAGGGTTTAGGGTTAATAATCTACCCCCCAAAAAAAGGTTCCACTTTCTTCGGCACCGACACTGAACCCTCATAGTCAAACTATTGAGCTCGTCTTGTAGAACCCGACATCCTCAAGCCCGGGTCTAACTATAAAGGCCCCTGCACGCGACAAACCCGCAACCCTAAACCGCAGAACCCGAAACCCTGAAACCCTAAGCCCCTTTATAGAACCCTTCTAGCTCCCTTGAAAGGGGCACCCTTAAAGGATCCCTTTAAAGGGCCCCTAAAGGAGCCCTTTGAGACAAACCCTAGGAACCTCGAAGTGAGGCAGCGCCGCCTTCCGCAGCACTTCCCAAAAGCAGGGGATGCCAGGGCAGCGGCCACTGCTTTGGAGGTGGGCAAATTCTACACAGTAGGTGCCCAATAGTTGGAAGCCCAATAGCCTCAATCCTTAAGAGTAATGTATACTGTGGGGAATCCCAGCACTATTTGGCCTTAGTCCGGTTTCCAACTTTATGGGGTTTACTGTATAGCCTGAAAATAATTAGGGCTTTGGGCATGTAGGGGTTTAAGGTGTAGGAGTTTGGGGTTTAGGGGTTTACGGTTTAGGGTTTAGGATGTTCTAGGATCCCTAGGGATCAAAATAGCCCAAAAGCCTTATATAGTATGGTCTTTGGGCCCAAAAGCCTTAATATATGAGTCCTTAGATCCCTAGGGTATAGAAGCTTAAACATAATTAGCAATATTATTCCTTAAGGTTCCTTATCACAAGTATTCTATAAAGGAGCTCCAAACCTTATTCGAATTGATTTCTGGGCGTTTGGGGCTTTGGGGTTTCGGGTTTGGGCCTTGGAATTTTGGGCTTAGGGTAGGTGGCATTTAAGGGGCTGCTCCTAAAAAGACACAAGCAGAAGCTTTGTTCGAGGCACATCCGTATTGGGCTTCGTAAAAACCGGATGTCCCTATCCATGTGCCCTTGACCCAAAGCCCTACTTGGAGGATCAGGGGACTTTGCAAGTAAGGTAATAAGTACCCTAATTGGGGTTAATTATAGGTAATTATAAGTATATCTACCTTATTTACAACCCTAGTTTTGGGGCGCCGCGACCCAAAACCGTAAATCCTGCACTCTAAGCTGTGCTTGAGCGCTTTGCGTACGTATGGTACTCAAGTCAGGGGATTCTTGAACTTCGGGTACCCTTATACCCTTTTTTTTGCAGGGTTTTTGCTAGGGCTTGGGCCATACTAGGGCTTATAGGCCTTAATTCGGGCTTAGGGTCTTGATTGTTGCGAGTTTCAAGTTTTTGCTAGGGTGTAGGCGTTTACATCTTTAGATTGGTATCCTGTCAAGCCCCAGTAAAGACCCTGGAATCCGCACTGAAGCCCTAAACCCTAAACCCTAAACCCTAAAAGCCTGTTGACCTTGAACCTCCCTACATTCCCAAGCCTTAGACTCAGACAAGACCCTAAACCTTAACCCAAAGGCCCAGAATAGCCCTTTTAATTTCCCTTTATGGTTCCGATAGAGACACCGATTCATAAATGCTTTCGAGAGCCCCAAAACTACAACTCAGTTGAGTGTTTAGAAGGGTCAGCATTGAAGCCATGGCACTTCGGAGGAGTTCCCCTCGCTGGTGGACGCGGGCATACTTCCCGCTGGCCAGGCACTTTTCCTCGGTTCTGGAGTACGTACCATACTATACTAGAGTCAATGTTTTAGGGTTTAGCGTTGTAGGATTCTGGAGTACCAGACTTCATAGGGACTAATCAGGCCTATCTAAGGATTGTGAAATAGAGGTTTACCCAGAGGCTCCGTATATCGTACCGTTATGGGTTTATATAGGCCCCGAAAGACCATCCATATTTTGGCTTTGGTGACTTAATTCCATAATGGTAATATATGTGGGGCCTCTAGGTTATACTTGTTCTTGTCCTTGGCTACTTCAGAGCCCAGTTTCTCGATGTGATACGGTTGATGATATAAATCCTGCATTACCTTAAGGACCCTGAACTAGTGGAATTATGGTATATTCCTTAATATTGGTAATGCAGGATTTATGTCATCAACCGTATATAGGGGCCTTTGCGTTTGGGACTTAGGGCTTACCTGGAGATCCGCAAACCTACCGTCTTAAGGGTTCTACCTTCTAATCAAGAGGTCATAACCTACTATATATGGTGTAGGGTTTGGGGTCACAGGTAGGGTTTAGACTTTCCAATACTGGTTTTGGGATCTGAGGTTTTAGGATTTGTGGATTTTGCTCTTGGGTTTCGGGTTTCAGGGCTGGGGGAGGCCCTTCATAGACAGTAACCTGTAAACACCAGTATTGTAGAAGCCTTGAACCTGGAACCCGGCAAACCCAGGGTTTAGGGTGTAGGGTTTAGGGCCCCAAAATCTTATAGATCCTACCTAGAGTCTCCATTGTAGTTCCTTTTTGGGTTAACCAGAATCTCTATTATAGGATCCTAACCATAAGACTGGATAACCGAAAAAAGGAACTACAATGGATACTATAGGTAAACCCCGAAACCGTAGACCCTTAAGCCTCTATACCCTACCTTAAGCCGGAATAACCTACCTTTTTAGGGTTCCTTATTATGATTTCCTTATATAAGTCCTTAAAAAGGTAGGTTATTCCGGCTTAAGGTATAGACTGAACCCTGAAACCCAAAGGGCAGGGGACTTAGTAAGTAGGTTATAAGTAGGGTTATACTTGGGGTAACTCCATTTAGGGTACTTATAACTGCACCTATAACCTACTTACTAAGTCCCCTGCCCTTCCAAGTAACCGTAAACCCTGAACCCCAAAACCGTAGGAAGCTCGAAGAGCCGCCATAGGCCGAAATTGGTCCCCGGGGCGACTGGAAGTCAGTTCCGGTGCAAGGCTCGTCCTGCGTTTGGTTGGGGCTTAGGGGTCTAGAGTTTATGGCTTTAGTCGCAGTTGTTGCAATATAATATTGGTATGTTTGTTGGGGTTTGGAAGAGCATTATTTCCAGTGCTTGCCATATACAGGGCTGCCATGTTATGCAGTGTCTCCGTGGTCTAGTTAGGGTGCTTCCAGCTTTACATAAGGCGCTGAAGCTTGATATGTGTTGTGCATGTGGGGATAGCCTGTATACGGAGTTTTAAGAGGCCCCGAAGAGAGTTTTGGAAAGTCTTTACAGAGGTCTTTTGCGATAGTTGCTTACTTATGCAAGGCTTTTCTGGAGTTTTCGAAGGTTGCGCGTCCATCTTCGCTCTGTATTGCGGAAAGTTGACAGACATGTGGAGGGATGTATACTTGAGCCATTCTTGGTATAAGTGTACTATCCTTATTTGCTTGGGTTTCGAGGCAGTTAGTTCACAAGAAACTGGAATAGTACATTGACTGTTGCTGCTTTCGGCGGAATCTATCTGCGCCGCCTGCATCTCAACCAGAAGAAATTGGGCCCGCCGTTTGCGATTGCCTGACCCCGCAACTACCCTCTAATATGCCTTAAATGGGAGTTTCCGAAAATGCCGGACCCTAATAATATAGTACCTTAAATCATAGGTAATATGGACCCCAAAATAAGGTTACGTCATTTTCGGAAATTCCTAACTTTCTATGATTGCTTAAGGGCACTTGGGGGGTCCTGGCTTGCGGATTGACGGGGCCGGATTCGTGCTCGTTTGTGAGCGAGGGCATGAAAGGCTTTAAGCTCCCAGACCTTCCAAAATCCCTTAATTAAGGAATATACCTTAAATCATATTAAGGATCCTACTACATTTTAAGGTATATTCCTTAATTAAGGGGTTTTGGAAGGTCTGGGCTACTTGGAGGGGCAGGGGGCTCTTAATGGGCTTCTTAAAAGGATCTATAGGGTTCCTTCAAGGGATCCATGGGGTTTAGGGTTTAGGGTCTACTGAGAGGGGCAGAGGACTTAGTAAGTAGGTGATAAGTAGGGTCATAATTGGGGTGACTCCATTTAGGGTACTTATATATAACTCTACTTATAACCAAGCCTTAGGTACTGCCCCATACAGTAAGAGTCTATAATAGGGGTGCTATTAAGGTCCTAATATGTCTATTATTATGAAAATTGTTCAACTATTACTAAGTGGGGGCCGTACCCACGTTAAGCCTTAAATCCAAAACCCAAGCCAAAAGCCGTTTAACCCGATAGCCTAAACCCCTGAACCCTCAGCTCTAAACTCTAAACTAAACCGTAAACACCTTGTTACCTGAAGCCCTACCGTTGGGGTACTTGGATCCTCTGGGAGAGTGGATCGCCCAGGCCGAAATGCTTGCAGCAAAACCAGGCATTTTTGCCCGAGGCTGTGGCTAATCGGAAGGCAGCAGATGGAATCATACCGGTACACTGCAAGTCATAGGTCTGTTGTTTTGCATCGAGCACGACAGCGCAGCCCGTCGCCAACTAGAGGTAGGCTTAGAGGATTAATCCGATTACAGTTGCACATGCAAGCCAGTACATGTATGTAAAACTCTACGCGCGCGCAGGTTCGCAACAAAGAAGTTAGGGGGTTCGGATTGAAACGCCAACCCTCTACAACCATAAGAAGGAAATTACCTGTAGATGTATATTCGACAACAAACGGACATTTAAACCACAACTACCAAAAGTGCTCCGTCGATCCGGCCTGCGCCATGGAGAAGACTTTCTGGGGAGGTGGCTTGGAATTACTTGAAACTACCTTAAGGACGAAGTGAACTCCAAAAGGGTTGAAGGTGTAACTACCATGTAGGGGTTGATCGTATGAGGTTCTACTAGTAGGGTCCGTACAGTTAAGGGTTATTTGTTTTTTTCGGTTATACCTGCAACTTCCACATCCTGCTTTGTGGCTAGGACCCCTGAACGGCAAATGTGCGAGCTTTGACATGATTTTACGGGTGCCTACTTTGCCCTGTTTTTTTCAAGAACTGCATGGTTCCTCAAAAGCTTTTGCTCGGGCTTAGGTTGAGACCGTGTGTCCCGGCATGTGCTTATAGCCCAATGTAGGGTTCGACGTCAATGTAGAACATCTAACCGGATCCTTGGTATTCATGTTTAGAGCTTGTACGTACATGTATATATATATATACACACCGTATGCAGTACATACACATATGTACGTGACTTCTTTCGTCCAGCAGCTGACAGCCTGACCACCAGGATCTGGTAGCCATCGTGGGGCCAAGATGTGAGCCCTAAACCCCTAAACCCTAAACCCTACTTTTGTGATCAGGAGCTGTTACCCAGAGGCTACACATATAGTAAAATTATGGAATTAATTAGGTCCCCAAAACCATACTAAGACTGGTCTTTTGGGACCTATCTCCGTAATGGTAGTATATATATATATATATATATCTAGGTTCTATGGAGAGGTAGCCAACCTAAAGAACCCAGACCCCCGGGAGGATCTAGAAAGTAGATCCCCTAATTTGGGCCCTATACTACTAAGGCTACTTTATAATAACCCCCCCCCCATTAAGGGATCTACTTTTTGGATCCTCCCGGGGGTCTGGGAAGGGGTAGTCCAGCTGAACCGAAGCCCCTAAACCTGCCGTGAGCCAAGCAAGAAACCCTAGAGCCCTGCCTAAGCACTAATTGACTGGGTTTAGGGTTTAGGGGGTTTAGGGTTTAGGGTTTAGGGGTTTAGGGGTTTAGGGTTTAGGATTTAGGGTTTAGGGTTTAGGGGTTTAGGGTTTAGGGTTTAGGGGTTTAGGGTTTAGGGGTTTAGGGTTTAGGGTTAACGTCTCGAGCCCTGAGACCTAAAACGCCATTGTCTGAGAGTCCTAGACCGTATGGTGCCCGTATAAAGCCCTTCTACTTGGAGGGTCGGGGGAGCTTAGTAAGCAGTTATTTGGTAGGCCTGCTCACTATGTCCTTCAACCCTCCACGTAATCATAGCCTTAAACTCTAAGCCCTAAACTCCTAAACCCTGCAAAAGTCCACTGCGGCAGACTAAAAATGAACTTGAACCCTTAACCTCGCCCCTTAAGCAGATTCCTTTAAGTGTTTCCAAAAAATTAAACCCTAACCCCTATAGACCCTAACCCCCGAAACTAATCCCTAAATTCCAAACACATTCCTTTCAGGGTTTTTCCTTTTCAAGCCCTTCGCCGGGCCCCCATGCGTGAGCCGAAGCCCAGGCACCTTGCGGCGCTTCCGGTTGCCACTGCTCCTACTGCCACTCGCCTCCCTCAAAAGGGATCCCTTTTAAGGGATCCATAAGACCTCCTTTAAGGAATCCTTCTAGATCCCAAATCAGGGCTCCTTTAAGCAATCGCTTTTCAGGGACCATTAGGCTCCTTTCAAGACGAAAAGAGCCCGCTCCTGTTAAGGGTTCCTGTAAGGCATCTAGAAGGGCTCCCTTAAGGGTTCCCGTTTTAGGGTTCCTTTAAGTGAAGGGGTCTGTAAAGGGTTCCTTTAACGGTTCCGTTACGGGATCTATAAGGGCTCCTTCGAGGGATGGTGGGTTCCTGTTTCCTTACATCAATGATCTTTGGGAGTATCTATAGGGTTTGAGATTGTAAGGGTCGGGGATTGGACGTTCCCATCCCGAAAGCCCTAACTCCAGTCAGGCTCAGCAATCAGGTGTCCAGAGGACGAAGCCCAGCCATTGAGCTTTAAAGCCTGAAGCCTGAAATCCCAGAACCCTGACACCCTGAAGCTTCTGGCATAAAGCTGCAAATCAGCTCAGTATAGAACCTATAGTAGCCTTCTACGCCCTACGTAACCCCCTTCGAAAGCAGCACATCCAAAGAACCAGGTGCCTGTTGCCGGGACTTTCCTTCCTCAGCGCATTCCCCACCGCCGTCCAGCGCGCGACGTCGGTGGCGCGCCGGACCGGGGCATCAGAAAACGCAGCGCAGAGCAGTGGTATGTCGGTCTGAGAAGTTGTGGCATCTTGGAACAAGTACGTACCTAATCATTCTAATCCTGGTATCAGAGTGCGCAACCTAATCAAGGGGTCCTTAAAGGGATCCGACTGGGTTCTAGAAGGGAATTACAGAATATAATTAACCTATAGTAGGTAGGGTACGTAACCTCTAGCCTTTTTGGGGGGTATTACAATGCCTCTTCATCCCAATATACTCTCAAAGGTTATAACCTTCAGTTCCCCAGGATACTCGACAGGCAGGAAAAGGGCTGTTAGATGGCTTATCGAGCTTTTGCTTTTGGCTTTTCATGATTTGAACGCAATCGTTCATCTCCGTGGGTTCCTTCCGTTGGGGTCTAAGAACTCATATAGGGTTCCTTTAAAGGATTCTATTAAGGCTTTTGGGCCCAAAGACCATACTATATAAGGCTTTTGGGCCATTTTGATCCCTATAGGGTTCGTTGGTTCATCGCGAAGAAGCTTGGGCTTGTGGGTGGCCTGGCTGTTGGCAAGCCCCGGTGCCAAAGGCCCTAGCACTGCAGTGCTGGGGGCTTAATTGCCTGCACAGTCCATCGACATTATGCCCGGAACGTCGCGGTCTGGCGACTGCCACGCTTTCTTAAGTTACCGGGATGCGGCCGAGGTGGGCTAGAGCAGAGATGGGGCTGGGCTGGCTGAAGTTCTGAGATTGTGAGCGTCTGACTGCAGTGATGCAATGCACAGCTTGTACTCTCAGGCAGAAAGTGCAATTGCGGCGCTGAGCGACGTGTATTCGTTCAAGCCAGGCGGGTTCCTTATTCTATTTATATATAATAGTAAAATATACCCCCCACACCCTGTTCTGATTGCCCCTGCATTCCTGTTTTGGTGCCCTATGCTATATCGTCTGAGACACAGCCCTAAATAATCAAGAACCTCCGCCCCTTCTTAGACCTTGAACTCGACATTCCTTCCAGAGTCCGTAATACGTACTACTGTCCAAAGGAACAACCTGCCAAGCCACGAACCCTACTAAACCCTAAACTCGAACAAACTCCTACACCCCTAAACCCCTGACCCTGGAACCCCTTATAAACCCTTACAAGCCACTAAACCCGGCAGCCCCCAAACCTTTAAACAAAGCAGGACGAGCAACCCCCTAAGACCCTGACCCCAAAGCCCTAAACCCAACAAAAAACCAAAGCCCTTAACCCTCGGGATCAAAATGGCCCAAAAGCCTTATATAGGACCATGGGCCCAAAAGCCTTAATACATGAGTCCTTAGATCCCTAGGGTAAGAGCCCTTACCCTAAGGGTCCAAAGGACCTAATATTCAGGTATAATCAGGTACTTGGGTTTAGGATAGCTTTTTTTAGGTTACTATTTTGGAGAGCATATGATAATTAGGTACGTGGACCCTTAGGGTTAAAGAAGAGCAATCCCTAGACCTATAGATCCCTTGGAAGGACCCCTTATAGATCCCTTTAAAGGAACCCTATATGAGTCCTTAGATCCTTAGGGTAAGAAGAGCAGGACGAGCAACCCCGTAAGCCCCTGACCCCAAAGCCCTGTCAGGAACCCTTAACAAGGAGTCTTGAAAGGAATCCTTAAAGGAATCCTCCTTAACGAGGAACCTTAAAGAAGAGCAATCCCTAGACCTATAGATCCCTTTCAAGGAATCCTATATGAGTCCTTAGATCCCAAGGGGAAGACGAGCAACAAGCCTAGGTTATAAGTAGGGTTATAATTGGGGTAACTCCATTTAGGGAACTTATAACTCTACTTATAACCTACTTACTATGTCCCCTGGGCCTCCCTAAACCCTAAACCCCATGGATCCCTTTAAGGAACCCTACAGATCCCTTTAAGGAGCCCTTTTTAAGAACCCTTACTACGTCCCCTGCCCTTCCAAGTAGTGATGCCCCCGTCAAGTCGGTCCATGGGTTCCTGGACCCTAGACAGACATGTGCAAAGCCTATAAACCCTAACCCAGCAGGTCTTCACATCGCAGATCCCTTTAAAGGAGCCCTATATGAGTCCGTAGATCTCTAGGGTAATTACCTTATAGATCCGTTTAAAGGAATCCTATATATGAGTCCTTAGATCCCTAGGGTTAAAGAAGAGCAGGACGAGCATATTAGGTACTTGGACCCTTAGGGTTAAAGGTAATCCCCTAAACCATTTAAACCCCTAAACTCTCTAAACCCTAAACCCTTAAAGACGATCCCTTAAAGGGACCCTTTAAGGAACCAGTTTAGATCCCGAGGGTTAGAGAAGAGCAGGACGAGCAACAAGCCGTCCGGCCCTCCTTTGCCTTCTGCGCCCCTCGGGATTGTTTGGCCCTCCAAGGCAGGGCCCAGACCTTCCAAAATCCCTTAATTAAGGAATACCTGCGGGGTTCCTTTAAAGGGATCCTTAAGGGTTCCTTCAAGGGATCTATATAGGGTTTATAGGGTTTCGGGTACCAGAGACTCCAAAATCCCGAAATTAAGGAATATACCTTAAACTTTAGTAGGATCCCTAATAAGATTTAAGGTATATCCCTTAATTCCTTAATGAAGGGATTTTGGAAGGTCTGGGGGTGTCAGAAGCGGGGAGTTTAGGGCGTTGAGGGATTTAGGGCTTATGGGGATTTATAAGGAGGTCATTTATAACGGGATCTAGAAGGGTTCTATCAAAGTGGTTTAGGGTTTATAGGGTTCACCCTAATGCTCCTGGACCCTCATAGTGAGATCCCAAACCTTAGCCCCCAACGCCCAAACCCTTCCCCCAGAAAGCCCATGACCCCTTTGGGAGCCTTAGGGTAGTCCCTATACCCCTAAACCCTATATATACCCAAACCCTATATAAACCCTAATTAAACCCTAAACTCTTATAGATCCCTTTAAAGGAACCCTTAGGTTTAAGGGTTTCGGGGGTTTAGGGCTTATGGCGTTTAGGGTGTGGAGTTTACACCGATGCAGCCGGAGCATAGCACTTGGGGACCCAACACCTCGGACCCGCTAAGAGACGCTGGCTCGGGGGTTAGGGTTTAGGGCTTAGGGTTTAGGGTTTAGAGCTTAGGGTTTAGGGTTTAGAGCTTAGGGTTTAGGGTTTAGCGCTCAGGGTTTTTAGGGTCTAGGGTTCACAGGGTCAAGCGGGTAATTAGTACATAGAGGGAACTTCGGAAAGACTTTGGACGTTGTCTTCTCAACAGATATTTTTGTTGTCTCGTTGAAGCTTTGCTGCTGACGGGCGTCTGTCTACCGTTAGAACTTAGAACCCACGTTTTGTGAGACAGAATACTGCCCGATGCATGCAAACCATAGCAGTTCCTTTTGCGGGTTGTCTTCTCGGGTTCCAAACATAGAATCGTAGGCGGTAAGATCATTTGAGCAGTGCCCCATACGACAAGCCGAACCCTTGAACATGAAGGTCAATTTAGGGGCTTAAATAATGACTAGGACCTAGATTAGGCCCTTATTCTCATTTTTAGGGTTCAGGTTCCCTTATAAGCCCCTTTAAACCAAAAAGGGCACCCTTTTTATTCCTAGGTTACTCTTGGGTCTAGATGACCTATCCCTAGTGCTCCAGTTGCCTAAATTGTAGGTTACTAGCCACATATTACATACCCCAGTAACCTACTATTTAGGTAACTGCAGCCCGGAAGTGGTACTATGCCCCAAATCTCCATTCTAATTATTAAGGCCCCTACATTATTCCGCTTCGAACAGAGATTCAGAGCTGAGAGTGTTAGTCAGGAGAGCCGCGTCATGATGGCGTCACGTGCATGATTTTCCCATGAAAGCTGCTTTTCATGGTTCGAAGGGCTCTACACTACGGGCACCATATGGGTACGAGAAGTGTGCTAAAATCTGGAGGCCCCATGTAAAGTACCATTCTAGAATTATAGGTCCTCGTTCTAAAACCTGATAAGGATGGTCTTTTGTCACCTAATTCCTCAAGGGTAGTATATATGGAGCCTTTGGGGAAGGGTGCGTTTCACTGTGATATCGTGCTTACGACAGGGTGAATGAAGCAGGGTCGCCACGAAGCGGCGTCTCAGTTGGTTGTTTCGGAACGACTCGCATGTCGGTTTTTGCGCAGAGCAGGCCGACGGCCACGGCGGCGTGGTCGTTGATCTCTTCCTGGACTTGTGCACCTGGGCCCTTTCTTGGCGTGTCGTATGCTCTGCTAAACTGCTACATGGGTGGTTGTCAAAATTAGGGTCCCTTTTTGGGTCCCTTATATAGTACCTCATCTAATATTTAGGGTTCCCCAAAAAGGGGCCATAATTTTGACAACCACCCACATGTGTGGTTTCTGTTCCAGTGAGTTGGGATCTGGGGCTGCTTGCGTGTATGAGATATTCAGGTGCGACCGTGTGACCTAGACTTGGGGTTCCAGGTGGCTGCTTCAGAGAGGGACCCCCCAAAGCACATAAGCATAAGCATTTTATAGGGATATCCCTACCTTCTGGTGCTTCCTTTTAAGGGGGCGTATATGGGATATTCTTATCCTATTTTTTTGTTATATGCTTTTTTGGGGGCCAAAAAGGTGGCTGGTTCATGGACCGCAATGGTCTACCTCAAGTAATCCACCCACCTGTACATCAAGTTTGAGATGACCTTTTGAGATTCATGTTTCCCTTGCTTCTGGCACCTTCGTTGCTCCGTATGTCCTTTGTTGGTTGAGCCAGCTTTATCATAGTCAGGGTTTCGCCGGGAAAGCAGCAACCAAAAAGATAATCTACAGCTAGAGCGGAAAGAGCCCGACAGGTATGTGTTGCCTCGAAGCCTGTGTCAGTTCAGATGCCTTACATCACATGTGGGGTTCTGGGTTCGGGTTTAGGGTTTAGGGTCCCCCCTAAACCTTAACCCCTAAACCTCAATCCCTAATCCCCAAACCCTAAACCTCCAACCCCAAACCCTAAATCCTAAACCTTAAACCCTAAACCTCAAACCTTGCACCCTAAACCTTAAACCCTAAACCTCAAATCTCAAACCCTAAACCTTAAACCCTAAACTTCACCTTTTGAGCCTTCTGTATAATATATATATATATATATATATATGTATTATATATATATATATATATATATAATTTACCATGTATATATAGGTATATATATATATATATATACATACATATCAATTTCCGCAGTTTGGGTCTGGGGTTTTAGGGTTTAGGGATTAGGGTTCAGGAAGATCCCACCACTCATGCATGTCTGAGTATCTTAGTAGTACCATCCCCTTATAGTCTCGGTAATGGTAGACTGTAGACTGCATTGTTGCCAAGCGCTTTAGTCTTCTGTTTTTGAGGCCCTCGGCGAAGTCCGACTAAGCCCCTCCACGTTCTAACCCAACAGCCCTTAGACCCCACGCAGCCCAGGCTGTCCATTCTCCAAGCGATTGCTTCACACAGTCGCAGGCTCTTGGGCTGCAAGTGCGTGCTGAAGTCCGAACGAACGCTTAACCCTTGGAGTTGATTCCGGGAATTTGGGCTTAGAGTCTGGTTTAGGGTTCAGGTCTAGGGCTTAGGGCTTAGGGTTTAAGTTAAGATCTACTCGCATGGTCGTTCAACTACTATGACGACGACCACTGCTACTATACTACTACGACGACGACGAATTTTCCTACGCCCAAGTACCCAAGAGTTGGATTCGGACCCGGAACAGCTCTGAAGCCCTCACCCCTCTAGCTCCTGAAGCAACTCAAGTTCGAAACCAACTCCCAAATTTATGTTACCGTTTTGAAAGCTGTCAAAGGTTTGCTTGGGTGGAGGATCTTTTTGTATTTGCGTCTGCTTTATGTAGATTCACTGTCCTTGGTGTGCAGTATCCGTACTTGGAGGGCCGGAGAACTTTGCAATTTGTTTTTTTAGTTCCATGAGTGGAACCCCAATTGGGGTTATGGTACGTATATCTCTATAAACCAACTACTTACAAAATCCCAAAACCCCCTGTACAGAACCCTCATACAGATATCCCTTTGATAATCCCTTTACGGGAGCCTCTTATACATCCCTCGAAGTATCCCTTGTAAGGAGCCTATTTTAAGGAACCCTTGACGAGTCCCTCGACTCGACCCTTCGAGTAAGCAAATTTGATGTGAAAGATTTCCCTGAGGCGGCGTAGCGGCTTCCTACGAAGGGAAGGCGCAGCGTGCACCCTTAACCCGATTTTAAAGCTTTGGTTCTGCAGGGGTTTGCAGCATTCGGGTTTGTTTTGCGGTTAGGATGCGGATGATATGACAGTTACTTAAGGACGACATGAACTCTAAACGCGTTTAGGGTTCACATATCATGTGGGAAAGCATAACACAAGGGTATAGGTCATGTGATTCTGCCAAGTACACAGATTCCTCTTAGTCGGTTTTAGGGGTCCAGAAAAGTCGCGAAAAAGTCCTGCGGTGCAGGCGTTCAGTGCCAGTAACGGAGCTCTATACTCACACCAGATTCTCTAATGCCTTGTGTTCTTATCTTTGAGTTTTGTTTGTGTGGGTTGTTCTGACAGGCGAAGGGCGGAGGGTGTTGGGGGTTCTTGGGCTCTTTCGTAAGCACCAAACGCCCTGAAGCCAAAAACAGGAGCGACGCGCAGCCCTAAACCCCAAACCGGACCCTAAGTTTCCAAGTATAGTCTTTTTTTATGGGAACCTTTAACGTTTTGGGAGTTATGTAGCCTACCACAACTTAAAAGGTTAACCTTTTTGGGCTAGGGTACTCCTACAATAGGGAGTATCCGAACCCATACGAGAAGAGAGTTCAGCACCCGTTTTGGACTATGTTCTTAATTAATTGTGTTTCGGACCACAGACCCCTCCGAGTTGCTGTATTTGAATACACAGGGTCCCAAGTAAGTATATGGGTGGTTGTCAAAATGAGGGTCCCTTTTGGGGTCCCTATTATAATACGGCACCTAATATTAGGCCAACCCAAAAAAGGGGGCCGTAATTTTGATAATTACCCATATATTCGGAAGTAGGAGGGTCTCTAAAGTGGCTAGGACTTACAACCTTGGTTTGGGTAAGTATCCCCCCATGTGGATGAATAAAACCCTTTGAAGAAGAATTTCAATCCTGAAGCAGAATTTGTCAGGTTACCTTCATCTTTCATCCGGTTGCGCAGCCGTGGCATGGGCAGAGCAGCTTCATGCACGAGCCTCGTACTAACTTGGTGAGTACACACTTCACGGTGTTTTGGGTTTAGGGTTTAGCGATTTCGGGTTTAGGGGTTTAGGGTTTAGGGGTTTACGGTTAGGGTTTACTCTGAGAGTCCAAGTGCCCACATGGTGGGGGCTTTAGCACCGGAAAACCATTTAGAGTACTTAGAGGATCATGGAACTGAGTAAGTCGGTTACAATTGGGGTTATAAGCCCCCTAAGTGGGGTTATCCTAATTACAACCTACTTATACCTTATAACCTTACTTACCAAGTCCCATGGGCCTTCGAGTAAGGAGTTTGAGACCAAAAACCCTGCTATGGGAAGACCTGTTGGGTCAGGGTTTAGGCTTTGCACATGTCTACCCTAAGGCTTGTAAAGGGGTCATGGGCTTTCTGGGGGAAGGGTGTGGGCTTTGGGGGCTAAGGTTTGGGATCTCACTACGAGGGTCCAGGAGCCTTAAGGTATGGTCCAGGAACCCAGTGACCGACTTGAGGGGGATTGCTACTTGGAGGGTCGGGGGACTTAGTAAGTAGTTAGTAACTAGACTTATAAGTACCCTAAAAGGGACCCTAATTGGGGTTATGGTATTTACAAGTCCTTAAAATATCCAGTTACTAAGTCCCCCGACCCTCCAAGTAGCTACTTCACGGCGCTTTTACACTTGTTGCTCCCTGTGGGGGTTAGTGGCCTCTCCGATAGAATCTCCAAAGTCACTGCTTGATTGCACACAAAAGGGAGTGTACCTATAGTCTCCATTGTAGTTCCTTTTTTCGGTTATCCAGTTTTATGGTTAGGATCCTATAATAGAGAATCTGGTTAACCAAACAAAGGAATTACAATGGAGACTATAGGTAGAATCCAGAAGTCGTCACCCCCCGACGAGAACTAAGCACCCTCAGCACATTTCATATGGGAGTTTCCGAAAAAAGGTGACCCTAGCATGGCACTCCAAATAGTAGGATCCTTGTTATACGGACCCCAAAATAAGGTAGCCCGAATTTTCGGAAACTCCCATAAGGCGGTCCCCTTCTCACGAAGAGCAGGCAGCGTACAGCAGGCTCAAAGCCTCGAACCAAATACCCGAAACCCTGGGTAGCTGAGCAGTATAGAGTCCTACGGTTGATGATAGAAATCCTGCATTACCTTAAGGACCCTAAACTATGGGAATTCTGGTATATTCCTTATTATGGGTTTTGCAGGATTTAAATCATAAACCGTACCATCGGCCGGGAGCTCAAAAGTTCAAATTATCGTCGCTACTACCCTGAGGCTCAAAATGGCCCAAATTCCTCGTACAGCACGGTCTTTGGACTAAAACCGTTAGGGTTGGGGAGACAATATTGGGTTTAGTATTTGTAAAGGTTAAAACTAAGGGTATCCAAACTTGGAAACTCTAAACCCTTACCCGAAGGGTCCGATTACCTAAGAATCACACACTCTCCAAAATACTAACCTACAGGTACCATCCCAAACCCAAGTACCTGCTTGTTGCGTCTTTTGGACCTCAAGGTTAACTCTAACGGAACTACCCCTCCTCCTGAGTCTTATGAGCCTTCAAGTAGACCCCTTTAAGGAAGCCATTTAAGGAACCATTTCGCGCCAACTTGAAGTACCTAACCCTAAACCCTGGAAACCCCGAAAAATCCCCGTAGGATCCCTGTAAGAAACCCTAAGGATCCCTTTAAGGAATCCTTTAAGCAATCCCTTTAAGGAACCCTTTCGGGTTCCCTCCAAGTATCTAGGTAGTATTATTAGGAGACCCCTTAAAGGGTACCCCTTCTGAACCCTACTTCTGGCTCTCTTAAAAGGGCCCTTATTGAGAGGGTCTATATCCCCAAGGCCCTAAACCCTAAACCCTGAACCCTAAACCCTAAACCCTGATCCTAACTCCCAGTATCTGAGACGAGGAAGCCGCCTTGGCCGTGCTCAAGATTGAGGGTCCGGAAGCCTTTTGGGGCTACGCTGTGCCTTGGCCCTGTTCCCCCGAACCCCTGAACCCTTCGACCCCCAAAAAGGGGTCCGAACAGTATTTAGGGTTTTGGGTTTAGGGTCTAGGGATTATGTGGTTTAGGGTTTAATATGGATCCTTACCCTAAGGCTCCAAGGACTCAGATATGAAGGCGTTTGAGCCCAGTTTAGGTCTAGGGCGCTCCGCCCCTTCGCCCCTAAACCCGTAACCCCAATTGCCAAAGCCCCTGAGCCCTGAACAACGGGTTAAAGCGTTTCACGGGAAGTTGGAACATGAGGTGAGCAGGATCCATGTAGACCCTGATTAACGGAAACCGTTCTTTGCACGCCTTGGTTCGGCTCCCCTTATGAACCTCGCTGAAAAATGTCGTGATTTCTGTCTGCAGAGTAAAAGCCACGCCTCGGACCCGAACCCTGAAGGGTCACAGTAACCCCTAAGCCCTAAGCCCTACGGTAAATGATAGAAATCCTGCATGACCCATAATAAGGAATATACCATAATTCCCATAGTTTAGCATCCTTAAAAGGTAATGCAGGATTTATATCATCAACCGTATCACAACCTGTAAGGTCATTGTGACCGCTACTATAGAAGACACAATTCTCAATAACAAGTAGACAAGCCCCATACCCTACGTATTCTAATTTTTCAGGCACAACCACCTCATCGACCGTGGTCATTGAACCCAAAAGCCTTGAATCAAAACCCACCCTCCCCGCCTAAACCGAAAAGCCTGTGCCCGAAATCATCAAGCCCGTGAACAACTTTGCCAACCCCCCCCCCCCCCCCCTCTCCAAAAAAATAGAAACACGGGCCCTAAACCCCAAACCCTTAACCCTAAACCCTACTCTAAATCCTAAACCCTAAGCCCTAAACCCAACACAAATATGAAAGCAGGGGCCAGAGCCCTGTGAGGTGGAGGTCTGTCGACGCCAAGAGGAGTTCTTCGACGACAGTACCTTTGAGAAAAGTCGGCTGCAGATTTACAAGGACTGTCCGTTTCTTAGTAGGAAATGGGTGAATGGATCCCTATACTTGGAGGGGCAGGGGACTTAGTAAGTAGGTTATAAGTAGGGTTATAATGGGGGTAACTCCATTTAGGGTACTTATAACTCTACTTATAACCTACTCACTAAGTCCCCTGCCCTTCCAAGTAGTGCTCTAGCATCTCCACTGGACTAGTAGTGCCCACATTCCCTACTAAGAACCAGACAGAGGACCATGATACGGTTAATGATATAAAACCTGCATTACCCATAATAAAGAATATACCATAATTCCCATAGTTTAGGGTCCTTAAGGTCATGCGGGATTTATATCATCAACCCTAAACCCTCATAGATCCCTTAAAGGAGCCCCCTTAAAGGGTACCCTAATAGATTCCTTTAAGGGAACCCTAGGATTGCTATCATCAACCGTATCCCTAAGTCCCAGGCCTAAACCTAATCCAGCTTCAGGGTTCAGAGTTTGCTCTGGGACTCCGCATGTGTAAGTCTTTGACAAGGTTAAGGTTAACCCACCAAACCCCTACTTTTTTGTAGGTTCTTATTATAAGCCTTGATATGGAATTTATAGGCTACTTTTTTGTAGGTTTTGGTAGGTTAAGGTAGGGTTTAGGGTTCAGAGTGTCAGTTGTCATACGAGATAAATTAGGAAGATGTTTGGAAGCTAAAGCGGGTACTCGGGGTCGCTTGTATGAGGTTTCGGGTTGATTGTGATGACTAGATCTCCCAGTGGGCCCTTTTGAACCCTTGTTGCGGTCTTAGGTTGAGGGTTTAGGGTTTAGGGGTTTCGGGTTTAGGGTTTAGGGGTTTCGGGTTTAGGGTTTAGGGTCATGCTAGCTGCCCTAAGGCTCCTGGACCCTCCTAGTGAGATCTCAAACCTTGGCGGCCAACGTTTGAGAGGCGGAAGAGCGATTGTTGGTAAACAGCTTGAGCTCTCCAATCCAAGGACAGAAGTGAGCTTCTCGATAAGCTGGCATCGATTGCGAGGAGCACTGCAGCTCTCGTTACATGCCGCAGTGGTCATGGAGACCGAGGCACCTCGGCGTCAGGCCGTAGCACCTGAGCCTGAAACCAGTAAACTTCTGTTGATGGACAACATCCTGCATTACCCATTATAAGGAATATACCAGAGTTCCCATAGTTTAGAGTCCTTAGGGTCATGCAGGATTTTGTCCATCAGCAGTTTGAATGCAACCAGAAAGGGAGCCATCTTCGTGGTTACTGGGGATCGTGGATGATGGCACGTGCTGTCCTCAGTGTGAAGGAAGCCGTGCCATGAACCCCCAAGCTGTTAAAGCCCTGAACTCTCAGTAACACCCTACAGTAAGCCATAAGCCCTAAACCCTAAACGGCCACAACCGTATATAAACCCTAACCCTAAACTTATATTGCTCTTATACAGCCCTTGCAGCTCTTGAAAGAACCCTTTATTTGTTGATGGAAGAAGCCCCTATGAAGCCTCTCATCAAGCTGTATCGGGGCCCTAAACCCTAAACCCTGACCCTTAGATTCCAAGCACTCCCGTTCATAGGACTGTTGTGCTCTTGAGGTACCAGAAGCCATAAATGGAGGCTTCCGAAAACAAGGGACCCTAATATAGTCCCCAAAAAAATAGGATCCTTGTTACAAGCACGCCTAAATAAGGTACCCCTAATTTTCGGAAACTCCCCAATAAGGACTGCGAGACCCTGAGGGTGAGCCGCAATACCCTCGACCCCAAATCCTTAACCTTGATACCCTGTACGATTTTGTTAGATCTTTAGGGGTTCCTTTAAGGGTTCCTTAGAAGTTCCTTTAAGGGATCTATGGGGTTTAGGGTTTAGGGTCTACTTGGAGGGGCAGGGGACTTAGTAAGTAGGTTATAAGTAGAGTTATAAGTAACCTAAATGGAGTTACCCCAATTACAGCCCTTCTTATAACCTACTTACTAAGTGCCCTGCCCCTCCAAGTAATACCCTATAGTAGAAGCCAGAAACTTGGAACACGGGATTTAGGAGGATTAGTGCTAGGATTCCTTGTACTTTATCTTAAGGCCATGAGGATAATGATGTTCCAACTTTCTGGCTTCTACTGTACGCCCAAAACCGAAGCCGTCCGTGGAAAAAGAGGAGCTTGTGATCATCGCGAACGAGATGGGCTTCGATTCATCGAAAATTATGGCGAGGCCAAGACATCATCCACTGCCTACCATTCAGGGTTTCTCAGGGTACATTGCGCCTATATTGTACATACCTAGTTCTGGCTTAACTAGATGAGTACTTTTCGGGCCAAAGTGTGTGCTGCACAGTAGATGTACCCTCAGGGACAACTTAAAAGGTTTCTTCAAGCGTGCTTTTAAGGGTTGCTTTACGGGTTCCTTCGAGAGTTTTTTTTCGAGTTCCTTCCAGGGTTTAGGGTTTAGGGGCTTCGTTTAAGGGTTCCGCAAAAAGCTTCCGTCAAACATGTCCTTGCCTGTAAGGGTTTCTTTACGGCTTCTGCTGAGGCTTTCTTTACGGCTTCGTGACGGCTTACCTTAAGAATTCCTTTAAGGCAAACATCGACAGTTCCTTGAAGGGTTTGGGCACGGGTACCTTTAATGCTTCCTTTAAGGGTTACTTCGAGGCTTCATGTGAAAGTTGCTTTAACGGTTTCTTTACGGCTTTATTTCAGAGCAGAGTGCGGGGGGCGTCACGATGGGTTCCGTCTAGGGTGTCTGTATATGGGCACAAGGTATATTGAACGGCTCCTTTGACTGCATCTTGAGGCCTCTAAATGGGCTCAGGCTGAGTGATGGCATGCCAAGTCTGGAGCAAAGCCAGTTTGTCGTCATTCTTTCTTCACATGCAAGCATAGTCGATCAGATCTTTGCTTATACGTGCAATGTATAGCTGATAACTATACACTCCCTGTCTTTGTTCTTGAGCATTGCGAGCCCCTTGATAGTCCTTGTTCATGCAGGAGGCTTTATTCATCAGGGGTCTACATTAAAACGCCCCTAAGGGTCTATGTACTCGTCAAGTATATACATTAGCTTTAAATTTACCCCTATATAGGTACATTGCGCCCAACGTATATACTACTTGGGTACATGGACCTTAGATGTAACTTATATAGTACCCTAGGATCCTTATTGTAACGGCCCTAAATTACGGTACCCCTCATTTTCGGAAACTAAACCCTAATCCCTTTATAGAACCCTTATAGATCCGTTTAAGGAACCCTCAAAGGATACCAGAGAAGGAACCCTTATAGCAGCCCTTTAAAGGACCCCCCCCCCAGAACCATACAGCTTAGAAGCTGCCCCCACCCTGTAATACTGACTATAAGGATTATATCAGGACCCTATTATATTCCTATTATACCACTATTACAGGGTGGGGGCCATACATCCAAGGGTAAAAGGAGGGACCCTGAATAAGGACCCTTAGCTATATACCCCTAATATAGCTATATACCATTATATAGCCCATTATAGGGTACGGTCCCCAGTAAGGGTCCCTGCTTTTGCCTCTTGAATACAGCGCTTTTGGTTGGGAAGGCTACAGCTGGCCGGCAGCGGCAATTCGGGAAACGCAGTCTCTGGGCTGATACTCAAAGGGGAAAGGAGGGACCCTTAATGGGGACCCCTATCCTATAATGGGCTATATAATGGGTATATGGTATATAGTAGCTATATTAAGGGTATATACCTAGGGGCCTTTTACCCTTTCAGATTATGTAGATCCTTGGAAGGGATCTATAAGGGTTCCTTTAAAGGGATCTATAAGGGTTCCTTTAAAGGGATCTATACGGGTTCCTTTGAAGGGATCTCTAAGGGTTAGGGGCTCAAGGGGTTTAGATCTTTTTTTTCGGTTTAGGCTTGGGGTTTTGAGGTGAGGGGCTTGGGATCTAGATACCTGGGACTTCTGGTTTTAGGGTTTGGGTTCAGGTTTTTGGGTTTAGGGTTTAGGGTTTAGGGTTTAGGGGATGATTTTGAGGCTGTGGCCTTGAGAAGCCTGGCATTGCTCGAGACCTTTCGGGTGATGTAGGCTGCAGGAGGTGGGATTTAGCGGCAAGGGTCCCGGTAGGACCTGGTGGGTGTCCCTACTCGGCCGCCTTGTCTTCTGAACAAATAGATCGAGTCTGAGTTAATAAGACGGGTTGTGGGATTGCTGTATGAGATTCAAGTGGGTAGTTGTCAAAATTAGGGTCCCTTTTTGGGTACCCTAAATATTAGGTGCCGTATTATAATAAGGACCCAAAAAGAGACCCTAATATTGACAACCACCCAAGTAGCAGTACCGAGGTGACACAGCGCATGAAGTGGGTGACGAAATTCCACCGCACTCGAGGACAGACGGTTCAGCTGGGTCCATTTCTTCAGGGCGTTTCGAGCTAACCAAGACCCTAAACCCCAAACCCTCATACTCTGTATGTTGCAGGAACAAGTGCAGCTGCGGTAACTTAGGTGCATCGAACACCTCACGCTCCTGCCTAAAAGAATGCTGGTGTTATCGTTTGTAGAGTTTGCCCATGTTAGGATGGTGAGAACTTTTGCTACTCTTTCTTTTCCCTAAGGCTCCATGTACCGTTATAGTAGATACTTAGACCTTAAAGTACCTATATAGGGACTACTTTGGGGCTTAAGTATCTACTATAAGGGTACATGGAGCCTTAGGGTTTCGTTTAGGGCCATCTCTTTCCGACCCGTAGGCTCCTCTGGACCCTCGTAGTGAGATCCCAAACCTTAGCCCCCAAAGCCCGAACCCTCCCCCAGAAAAGCCCATGGCCCCTTTGGGAGCCTTAGGGTAGTCCTAATCCCCTAAACCCTATATATATATACCCTAAACCCTACATAAACCCTAATTAAACCTTAAGCCCATGACCCCTTTCGGAGCCTTAGGGCAGAGACTCGCACTCTTGGACCGGGCGCGAAGCCCAGACCGTCCAATAGCCCCTGATTAAGGAATGTACCGTATAAATCATTTTTAGGGATCCTAGTATGATTTAAGGTATATTCCTTAGTGCAGGACCTAGAACTTCCAAAATCCCTTAAGCAAGGAGTATACCTTAAGCTCTTTTTGGATTCCTGACATGATGTAAGTTGTATTCTTTAGTTGAGGGATGTTGGAAGGTCTGGGAGGTTTTAGGATCCTGTATACATCTCCCAGGTCTTTAACCCCCATACATATAGAAGCTGGGATCATTGCCCAGATTTTCCTCAGGTATCATTTCTTATAGGGTTCCTTGTTACCAGATCTATACATTACGCTCCAAGAGCCTACTCTTGTCAGGTGCAGGTTTTGGAGCATAGGCGCCGGAGTCTGTCATATGAGGCGTGCCACGCCTCAGGATTTGCGATGAGGGACGTCCAGAGACGTCTTTAATTTAGGGTGTATGAGCTTTGGGCTTTTGGTTTAGCATTTGGGCAGGGATAACGTTTGTAGTGTATACAGCTTTGCACTTCGACATGGCCTTGAATCATCTTTCCTAGCGCTGCACGTGCCTCTGCAGTACAAACTTATACAGGCCTTCAAGTACCTGCGTATGTGTTTCAATGCCTCAATGTATAGCACATAGGTACACCTAGACCCCCCAACTACCCTCTACTATACCCTAAGTACCCACTATTAAGGACCATAAGGGCTCTATTAAAGGGTATTTGGGGGGTCCTGGCATAGAGCTTATATAGGGTTCAAGGCGAACCTTGAAGAAGCTTTACGTTTCCCAAATCATCCTTAAACCCAGCAAGCCCAAACCCCTAGACTCCTATGGTTTAGGGTTTAGGGTTTAGGGTTTAGGGTATACAGCCCTAAACCCTAAAAGCCGTAACGCATCTCAACCTCGTGACAGGCCCCCGAGTCCCGAGCCCCCATGGATTTGTTTGAGTCCTAGGCCGAAAGTGTTTGCTCAAGCGATTCTCCAGGAGTTCATGTCACACCCACCGTCTTCGTAAATGGTCTGGAGGCCGGGATGTTCCCAAAGGGTGTCATTTAGCGCGATTTTTAATGAACGAACTACACGTGTATCAGAGGGCTGTGAATACAGTAAGCCTAATAAGCAGCAAGCAGAGTATGTATCGGCTATCAGGCTATACATGGATTATAAGGCGGGGGTGGGGAGGCCGGGGGGGGGGGGGGGGGGGGTTT